CTTCCCAATCGTCTGCTTCATCAGAGACTGCAATCATTGAGGAGAACTCGTAAAAAGGCCCCCAACTTTTTAACTTTGCCAACTATATGAAATAGCGAGACAGCTGTGCAAAACCTAAAGCAAGAGAGAGAGATTTTCGTTCAAACTACCGGTCAGAACAAGTTGAACCACACTAGCCTCTACGCTGGTTTGATAACCAATCTAGTTTTAAGAACACTATAGCCGTTATTCAAGGGATCTCCAGTAAAGTGGATGCTCACTCTAGAAAGTAACTAGTCTTAGTGACGAGATTAAGATGTTTTTCTTTATTATAGCCATTCAAGGCTCCGTGAAATATATTATTGGTGTAATACATTACTGCGTAATACATTACTTGTAAGTGGATTGTTACTGTTTAAGTAATATTTAGATACAACTTAGGAAATATATTGCTACTGTTTCGTTATGTTTGGAATAAATATGAGAAATGCATTACCAACATTTTACCAGCACTCCTTATAAACTATCATTTCTTTTTTTTTTTACCATAAAATTCCATTCAAATACAGAATTAAAATCATTATCACACCATTCCGAAAAGATTTTCTAATAATAACATTATCACCATTCCAAAAAAATTTTCTAATAATAACTTGTACCATTCTAAAATTATAATAACATCATTTCTTACCTATTTTGTATGCCTTTGCTTGACTATGGTTTCAATATGATAAGTCATTGGAATAATACGATTGGAATAATATGATTTTATTGTGATAAACTTTATTTTTATTTATTTTTTATAGAAGTCTTTCAAATGTCCCTCCATATAATTTCAAATAAACAATAAATTTATGATACTAAATTCAAAATCTTTATATTACAAGTTAAAAATGAAAAAAAGTTTGATTAGGAAACTACAAAGTTTGGTAATTGTAAAAAATTTTAAAATATCGGAGGAGACTCGATAAGTATCTTATTTCAATTGAGCTTTTACTAATTTTTTATGAAAATTATGTTGTGTGATTTCTCATTGATTACCAATTATTATTTTTATTATTCTTGTTTTTATATGAGAAGTAATGACTTCAGCTTGGGCTACAACCCAAATTGAATTGAAGATAGAGGGATATAGAAATGGATGTATACTGGATTGTAAAAATGGAAGAAATGTATTTCTTATAAGTGGAGTTTATTTAGATAGAAAAAGTAGAAATGAATATGCGCAAGAGAGGGAAAATAACAGGAGAGTGGATGGACCGAAGATAAGAGGGTTTTTTTTTTGGAGGAAATAGATAAATTTTGTTGGAAATAGATAAATTTTTTGGTAAAAGACGAGTGTTGGATTAGATTATGCATTATGCACGAATTAGATTTCACAACCATTATGCGCGTAATAGATTTTACACATTTTGGAGAAATCTTGTATAATTTATTTTTATTTTCTTATAGTTAAAGTGTAGCCAAACATGCTAAATCTCGTGTACCCGAATATGATAAATCTCGTATTTCCTTGTAATATGTTTACTGTAATAGATTTTCAGGTACCCAAATGACCCTTAATAACATGTGCGATTCACCTAGAAAAAATGATTCACGTAGAAAAAAACATTAAAGAAGAAATAAAAACAACTAAATTACAGAAAATTACAAGCCAAAAAAAGAACTAAATTACAACAATTTCAAGCCAACAAAAATATACAATTAGCTGCGGTTGTGAGGGAATCGGTTCAGCTTTGATGCAAGGGCAAGAGATTTTGCGCCCATGTCCATCACGAGACGCTCTCTCTCAGCTCGCCTCTGGTGTTGTCTTGCGTTCTTTGCCCTCTTTGGGGCAAGGCGTGCATCTCGCTCTACAAAAGCCATCCTGAACCTCTCGGCCAGTGACAACTCTGGAACATCAGAACTCCGTGCATCAAACCTCACTTTTTGGGCTGCAGCAACTGCCCATGCACTTGGATCAACATCAATGACAACTGGATCATCCAGGACTACATTTGGTAGAGCTTCCCTTGGAACCTGTATTCCTCGCAACCCCAACTGCGATGGCACGGGGTTAACCAGAATTCGTGGGCAGTCTGTATTCAGCATGTCTAATGAATCTTCATCGATTTTTGCCTGCAAAAACGAAAGAGAAGCAGTCAATAAGGTTTAATACTGAAGGGTTATCCTGAATAACCTACTTTGCTGTTAAAGAGTTTAAGCTTTCATATAAAACAATAATATACATAATCTCTCATCTTAGAAAACTATGATGATCAAACCATTGATTGGTACATAGGTATGCTTTGGGCCAAGCATCTCGTGTACCAATCATACCAGTCCCAATCAAAATCTTTTTAGGTATGCTTAGAGATGCTCTAGAATCTAAAGGTTTTAAAGCAGGACTAAAACAAAGTATACGAAATGCAAGTTTAATAATAATAAGAGTAGAAACGAAGTAGTTAAGCTTGACCACCAAGAAATACTTAAAAGAGCTAACTTTCGATATCTTGAGTGGATAATCCAAGAAAATGGAGAGATTTGAAAAGATGCCGCACATAGAATTAGAACTGGGTGGGCGAAATGGAGATGTGCAACTAGAATTTTATGTGATCGCTGCACACCAATGAAGCTTTGAGATCAACTTTCCTTTATGGGGCAGAATGTGGGGCACTCGAAAAATAATATACCTATAGAATGAGTGTAGCGGAAATAAAGATGATGAGATTGATGAGTGGCAAGACAAGAAGGGATATAATTCGTAATGGATACATCAAAAAAACTTTAGGTGTGGCACCAATAGGCGATAAGATGAGAGAGAGAGTAGACTTAAGCAGACTGACCATGTATAGCGCAAACCCAGTACAACACCCGTTAGGAAGTGCGAGTTAGTTCACGTGGAAGGCTCAAAAAAGGCAAAGTGTAGGCCCAAAAGAACATAGTTAGAGGTAATAAAAAAAAATATGATGACTTCTGGCCAAATTTAGGAGGTGCGAGTTGTATTTACACCATAATTTCAAAAATTAATAGTAAATAATCTATCATTTCATGTGTATTTTTTGGCCACCTATGTACCTGTTAATGTTATTGCTAACCATTTCTTAGACTTGCCAGCATATACGCATCAATTATGTAGAACTCGTAACATCTCTAGAAGCCATGCCAACACCGGTATTGTAACCAACACTTTTTTCACCCTCGCACACCGACACCTATACTGTATTCCCATCCCCGTCCCCATACTATTACCTGGCTGTTTGCTCAAAATATGCATCAACTTTTGCAATGATACAAACACATATGACCAAAACAGATTTATTATTATTATTATTATTTTTGTTATTTGGATTCTTGGGATTAGAGTTCTTGGGCACCAGTAGACACCCTGTTTATTTTAAATCCAAAACAACATTCTATCAAAGAACCTCTGTTTAATTGACTTCATTGTTAGAATGGAGAGAGAGAGAGTAATTAAAAGAAAAGACGAATGGAATTGTGGTAGATAATACATTATATATATTATCCTTATACCTTACTCAGCAAAAAGGCACCTCCTTTGTCTCCTTTTCTTTCTCCCTTTTATTCACTCCTACTTTGTCACTCAAATTGTCCTCACATGAAGCTTCCTTAGGCACCAATATAGATTCTCAAGAGTATGGCTCTTAATGGAAACAGTTGCTCAATGGTAAGGCTCTTAATGGAGACAGTTGCTCAATGGTCTCTTAATGGAGACAGTTGCTCAATGATATGGTTCTTAATGGAGACAGTTGCTCAATGCGAACAGGTGTTGTCGTAGTGAATGGATAAAGGCAGTTTATTGAGACCATATAAACCCGGATGAAGTGGGCTGTGTGCTTGACTTTTAGAATTAGGGTACGTGTCCTCGGGAAAGTGTGCTCCTTGGCTACTTCCCACATCTTAGCTGCTATTCCTTCTTTCATGGGGACTCTGGTCTTCCAACTCAACATTTCATCCAAGTACCTCCTCTAACAATGGATACTGGCAAGAGCTGACTTGATGAAGCGTTAAGTCGCTGACGTGATGTTGCCTTTAGGTAGCATCAAATCATTGACTTGATATCTCATTTAGGTCAGTGTCACAGTATATGGACGAGAGTTTTCCATGTACACTCATAAGCTGTTTCCCATAGGCCTTGTAAAGTGTGCCATGGATGCAATCATGATAGTCACAAGATAGAACAGTTTATAAAATATTAGTGATCTGTGAAAGACATGAGCCATATTGGGCATATGCTATTTTAGAGATAGGCTATATGTCAGAACCATGAGTCATGTTAGACACTAACCACTTAAGGCATCTGCATAATGCGAACATTTTCTCATGGGCAATTGTGGCTACTCCAAGCCATAGTTGTTGGGATCTTCCAACCCAAGTCGTGATCCTGCTCTGGAATATTGCTCCGGTGCTCTGGGAAAGGAATCTTAATGGGATCTCAATTTTTAAATTTTGGAATCTCGATCCCCGTTATTAGGGAACCCAATCTCCAAAGTGATTATTTGTTTTATTTATAGCCAACTAGCATTGCAATTATGCTTTTAATATCTATGCATTGCTTACTGGCTATAAATAAAGAAATTCTATTTTAAGCTCAGGAGCAAGATCCCCTATAAAGTTGAGATTGAGATCCCAAAAGGCAGTATGGAGATCCCCAAAAGGTGGGATTGAGAGCCCAAAAATTTAAGGATCTCAATTCGTAACATATGCATTGTACGGGCAAGTTCCGATAACATTGGGAAACATGCACATCGTATTTGCACATGTAGCATTTGCAATGCCATAATATGATGACTTTGTGTTACAGAAACTCATCTCTCATGACATATCTACAACATGTATATGAAACACAATTGGGTACCATCTTATTTCGTAGACAAATTGCAATTTGGGCCTACTTGAAAATTTCTCCCAACAATTTGGCCTCAAAGAATGTATGATTTGCGAATTTGAATTGATTACCAATTGCAATTAAACCCCAAATTGAATTTTTTGCAAAACCAACTTTTGTTTTGCAACAAAAATCAACTTGGTTCTTTCTCTCTCTCTCCCTCACTTTGTCACTCTCCACCCACCACCACCATCACCTTTGCCAGTACCACACTACCAACCCATCATCATATGCTCTCCGCCCACCACCAACATCACCATTGCCACCACCACACTACCACCCCCATCATCATACCTCCACTACCACTGCCTACCTGCCACCACCATAACCACAACACCACCATCACTCCACCACCATCCCTCTGCCGCCACCACCAACACCACTGTCACTCCACTACCACCACTCCAATGCTTACCCGGGGACACCACCACCACCACTACTACACACTCCAACACAACCACCACCACCATTGCATCTCCACCATCATCACTGCCACACTATACAGCTACCATCACACCATCACTATCACCACCACCACTATCAAACCACATAAAAACTACTTGTTATTCCAATTTTAAAATTAAAGGATAAAAGAGGTCCCAAGCTGGTCATTCCAATCCCAAGCCCAGATAAAGGAAAGTGGTTGTGTTAGGTAAGGCAGCCAACATAAAACTTTGCTACACCTTTTCATAATAGCTGACTCTAAATAGTTGAGATAAGGCTTGGATGATGATGATGACGATGATAGAGCAAACATATAATTGACCAAGTTGACATTTGGTCAGTTACAAATTGAAAATTTCCATTTGACAAAATTTTATAATGAAACAGTCCCTTACAAATAATGTTTAGAGGAGTACAAAAACCACCTAAACAATAGCAACTATAGATCAAACTACCCAGTTGAATACCACAAATAGCATGATTTAAGAATTGTTGAAGTGGGCCTTGCATTTACAACTACCACATTACACATCACATCAATCCAAGGCCTTTAATTAGTTTTTGAAAGCACTTGTGCCATGGTACCTCAGAGAAAAATTCCAAGCCTTATTCTTAGTCAACTACGGGTTTAAATAATCTATCCAACATTATAATGGTGATCGCAGGAGATCTAGATTATCGGTATTGTCACCCATCTTTTTGGATCACAAATTAAAATAACAATGAGCAGATCATTGGGTGGATCATTGAAAAGGCACTGGCCAATCTGCCTCCTTCCTAAATACATGACGACCATCATCATCATCATCGTCAAAGTCTTTTTCCAACCAATTGGGGTCGGGGCTACACGAATCCTGATACACCATTTTACTCTATTAAGTGTCATATCCTCTGTGGGGCTATAAATCTCAATATTTTTTCTCATTACTTCTAACCATATCCTTTTAGGCCTATCCCTTGCCCTTTTTGAGCCTTCCACTTTAACAAACTTGAACTTCCTAATAGGTGTTGTACTGGATCTGCACCACACATGACCAAACAACCTAAGTCTAGTCTATCTCATCTTATCGATTATTGGTGCCACACCTAAATTTTCTCAATGTATATATTTCGAATTCAATACCTTCTTGTCTTCCTACTCATCCATCTCAACATCTTCATCCCTACTACGCTCATTCTATGGGTATATTGTTTTTGACTGCCCAACAGTCCGCTCCATTGAGCAAAGCTGGTCTCACAATTGTCCTATAGAACTTACATATTTTTCTTTTAAATGTTTATTTTGTATTGAAGAACAAAGAAAGTACAAAATTGCAACCCAAGAGATCAAGAGCTATATACAACAAAAAAAAAGGCTCCCCTAAAGGGACGGTGTATAAAGACCAGAGGGGTAGAGAGAAGAGGGGTGATCCACTCGCAGCACGGAAGGACCAATGCTACAAAAAATCACTTAGTCCCCTAAATTTGTAGCTCCTTGTTTAGCGAAGGAGTCTGCCTGAGAGTTGCATTTACACCAAACATGTCACCATGACACAATGAGACCCAAACATAGGCAAGAGATTTCTTCAAAATTGAGCGCTAGGGACCAAGGGTACGCAGCAGTGCCAAAGGCCCAGCAAATTACATTCTTTGAGTCACCTTCGATTACAAAGGTTGAAGACCAATTGCGATCGAAGAGTTTGAGGCCTTATAGGAGGGCCCGGGCCTCATCCGAGTGGAAGTCAAAGTCACCAATAGGTTTAGAGAAGGAGGCAAGAATAGTGCCTTCATGGTTCCTGAACAGACCGCCTATTCCAGCTGGACCAGGGTTGCCTAGGGAGCAACCGTCAAAGTTAAGCTTGATGGAATCACGATCAGGTGCCTTCATGGTTACCGGAATTTACATATTCCATTGGAAATACAATTAATCAAAAAAATCTGATATATTATTTAATTTCTTAGGATAAACAAGCAGTCATAATATGGCAATCTGCCATGAGATCATAATAGGTAACTAATGATTAATGAGGGGGCATGAACGATTATCTTCTATGCTTGCAGATGACTGATATGAAAAATGGAATCTAATGTGAAAGAAATGATAAGCTCATACCCATATCAACCAGCGTAGAGACTGGGCACCTTTGGCTAGAACACTGCTATCCAGTTCTTCCCATGATTCCTCCTCTAGAACCTCCAAACTTGGCTTTAAAAACTTCAAGCATCTCCATGCTGTAAAATCACTTCTGTGACTGCCTCTGCAATTCTCACAGTAAGGTTAACTAAGTTAATTGAATGAGCTACAACCTACCATTAGAAATTAAGAAAATGAAAGAAAGTGAAACAATCAGCACCACCAAGATGTCTGAAAATGTGTTTGCAGATAAATATGTGATATTTCAATCTCAGAAACTGGATTCAAGAATGTCATTTGTCAAGGCCCATAACAGCCTCCCATACTTGACAGTTACCAACAGTTTCATATCGGACCTTAAAGGATTTTGCTACTCATGAATTGAAACCTGGAGCAACGATAATAGTAACATAACAAAGAAGTTTTGATGAGTACATACCCACAACGCAATATCTCCAATCTATGGCACTGGAACAGAAGGTGTGAAACAGCATCTGCAGTTATTTTGTCACATTGACTGCACAAATGAAAAAGAAAAAACTAAAGTAACAACAACCCAAGTCAAAGGTGACTCTGGAACTCTGCCCTAATAAACTGAAAGCTGTAATCCAATTGTAATAAATTTGGCATTAGAAAATCAAAGAATAATAATAGTTCATGGTAATTTCCAAAAGCAAAATCAACATACAACCATTTAACAAATACATGAGATATTGTTCCCAGACCAGTCTTCTTTTGCACCATTTTGTTTACAACTCCAGCCTCACTTCTAGGAGGGACTGGAAATGATTAACATGTTATATTGAGATGGCAAATGCATAACTAAAGGTCATCAAGGTTTAGGATGGGTGACAAAGAGAAGGTTTTTGGCACCCATCTATGGGAAATTGGACTATTGTGGCTTCCTTCAACAATATATGCACCAAGAAATCTAGGAATCACAAAGAAGATGTTAGATTGGTTTACCAGAAAGAGACAGATTCCCCCTTGGAACATGGGATGTGATTTTGCCGCCATTAATCTTTTGCAGGCAAACAAAATCTGCAACCTAGCATAAAATACTTTTGAGTTTGTAGGAGGAATGAGCTGGTTGGCTTGTCTTTTGGGTCTTGCGGCCTTTTAAGGCCTTACCACTTGTATTATTACCCCATGTTGGTTGGAAACTGTGGGCAAGTCCCAATGCAGCAGAAACACAAAAAGATTAAAAAAAAATGAGAATCAGATAAAATTACATACCTTTGGAAGTCCAATCGCCCTTTTGTGGACCTCTTACTTTTTGCTCTTGTGGCTACTCCTTTTTAAGGGTCGAGAGTTTGATGCTCGCAACCTCCAGTCAACCTCCTTGATTACAAAAACCAACAGGGTTACCTCACAAAGCAAGTCACGGCCCTCAATGGAGATGGCTCGAGAGTTCTTGCAAAATTGTAAGGTTAAATTTCTTTTTTCCTATAGAGAAAAGTGGGAAAAAGGTGGTTTGATGGGGCGGTAGAATGAGGGACCTAGAGACGGGTGTACCACTTTGGCTGGTAAGTGATCTCTATAAAAAAGAATCTCCTCTCTTTCTAAACTCTCTAATATAGAGACGCCCCCTTTCAAGATTCCCTACTCTGGATAGTTATCTTTTCAACCTAGAAATCCATCCAAATCCAAGATCTAGATTCATATTTTCAATTCAAACAAGATTCTCTCAAAATATGCTATCCAGAAAATAACTATCCTAATCTTATAGGATTCCTTTTTCAGAGGAAGATGCCGCACATAAAATTAGAATTAGGTGGGCAAAGTGGAGATATGTAACCAGAGTTTTATGCGATCACCGCATAGTTCTATAGAACAGTTGTGATACCAGCTTTGCTTTATGGGACAAAATGTTTGGCGGTCAAGAAACAACATATCCATAGGATGAATGTAGCTGAGATGAAGATGTTGAGATGGATAATTGGCAAGACAGGAAGGGATAGAATTCAAAATAAATACATTAGGGAGAACCTAAATGGGCTGGCTAGTGTGGCACTGACCAAGTACAATACCTGTTAGGAGGTGTGAGCTAGCTCATGTGGAAGGGCTAAAAAGGGCAAGGGGTAGTCCGAAAATAACGTGGTTGGAAGTAATCCAAAAAGATATGGGGATTTATGGCCTCACTGAGTGTATGGCCTTTAGTAGAGCAGACTCGCGGACATGATTCGTGCAGCTGACCCCAATTAATTAAGAAAAGACTATGATGATGACGATTAGAGAGAACTTATGTGTTGCTCCAACAGGCGATAAGATGAAAGAGAGAGTAGACTTTGTGGGCTAGTCATGTACAGCGTAGACCCAGTACAACACCTGTTAGGAGGTGCAAGTCGGTTCAAGTGGAAGGCTAAAATACGACAACGGGTAGGTCTAAAAGGGCATGGTTGGAAGTAGTGAGAAAAGATATGGGGACTTATAGCCTCATTAAGGGTATGATCGTTGATAGAACAGAATGGCTAACCAAGATTCGTATAGCCAACCCCAAATAGTCGGGAAAAGGTTCTGATGATAATTTATGGACCATAAATCTTTTTCTCTCTCACTTGGTGCACTCATTCTTTTCTTTCACTGTGATTTCCTACCTTCGTTAAATGGAGCTCCCCCTTTTTAACCTCTTATCATGTGAGCCATGTTTTCCCCTCTACTTTATGTAATACATTACTTCTTTGTTTTTATTCTCATGTGGTTTAATAGCTGTAATGGTCTTCCATCTATTAAAGAAGAGCATGCTCACTACCTTCTTTTGATGTGGCATTTCCTCTTTAATATTTGTTATTTTATTACTCATCTTTTTCTCTCCCTTACCCAAGTGGGGTGAAAGCTTTTTATAATTCTTTAATTATGGGGGCATTAAGAAAGGGGCTATTTTACTCTCTCCCTCTCTCTCAACAATATGAGAAAAACTCTTTCTCTTTTGTTTCTGGACATTGTCTCGTTTACCTCTCTTGTTGGAAATATACAACAAGCACAAGATGCAGAGAAGAACGGATAGGAGAGACAGACTATGGCATTGGGCTTGACGGAATTTCTCTGTCTCTAATAATCCATCTCCATTGAGTATGTAACTTTTGATATTTAAAGAGAGAATGAGCAATTAGAGAAAATCAAGAGAGATGAGGAAAAAATACACATATTTGGTACTCTATTTTGTGCGGGAATGTTCAAGACCTTTCTTATATCATCCATTGATCAATACACATTTAATTGGATCATTTCTTGTATCATCCATTGATCCGATCAAAGTAAATTTATTCCTGCATTTCATGCCCAATCGATGTCTTACGGGTGAAATTACTGGTTAGAGATCATAAAAAATATCATTAACATAAAGTCAAATAATTCCGTAAGAAAAACAAAAATTTTAAATCTAAAAAATCCAAAAACAAAAAGAAAGACCTAAGAATATGTTGGAATTACAAAGAAAAGGGTCATTATAACACTACAGCGTAAGCCCGATGGCCCATATTGAATCTAGGACAATCCAATTACATTTTGTACTTGAATTTTAATTTTTTTTCTACTAATCCAAATCACTTGAAATTATGAGCGTCTATTCTTTAAAAATAGAAGAATCAAATAAAAACATCAAAAAAGCAATTCGCAAAAAATAAATTGACCAAAATCCCCAAAAACTTTTAGGGGTATTTTGATCAATTTATATTTTGCTAATTATTTTTTAATATTTTTATTAAGTGCACCTTACAGAGAAGAATGGACACCTCAAATTTTATGTGATTTGGATTTGTAGAAAAATATTAAAATTATATTATAAAATGAGGTTGTGATAATCAGATCGGCCCAGATTCAATATGGGTCGTTGAGCTAACACTATAGCTGTTAGCTAGTGGGCTAACCTTATATATATATATATATATATATATATATTGTACGGCCGTTGAGTGTGCAACTCAGAGACTACAAAATATTATATTTGTTCTAGATGTATTCTGGAGTTGTACTAGTCGGAACCGTTGCGCTTCGAAATTTTACCGAGACGGGGCATTTAACACTCCAAAGAAAAACAAGTTCACTCATGCCTCCAAA